GTAATTTAATTCTAGCCTATTGCAACTTTTCCTGTTAACACTTAACTTACACCAAGTAGGTGGGTCAATGCTAGCAGTGGAAAAGGTTTTTTAAATAGACTATAAATATTATATTTTTAATAAAATAAATACAAATATATATTAATTAAATAATAAAACAAATACAAGATACTTGTTATATTTAAGATTATTATATATAATTTAATTTAAACTATTTTTTGATAATAAAAATTGATTATTATTATTATATAATTTAATAATAAAAATTATTTATTTTTGTTATATAGATTTATAATAAAAATTAATTATTATTGTCATATAATTTAATAATAAAAATTAATTATTATTGTCATATAATTTAATAATAAAAATTAATTACTATTGTCATATAATTTAATAATAAAAATTAATTACTATTGTCATATAATTTAATAATAAAAATTAATTACTATTGTTATATAATTTGATAATAAAATTTTTTTATTATTATTAGTTAGTAAAAATAGTTTATATTAAATAAAAATAATATATTAATATATTAAAAAAATAAATTATAATATTAAAAAAATATATCAATAATATAAATAAATAAATAATTTTTTAATTAAAAAATTTTTTTTATTTTAATATTATAATTATTAATGTAAAATCAAAACAAATTTATTTTATAAATTTACTTTTTTGAGTATATTTATTCAAAAAAAAAAAAACAATTATTTTTCTTTAAAATCCAATTCTTCTTCTAATATTAAATAGATATTTATAACTGCTTGATATCATTTGACAAAATATATTGTTTTAAATTTTCTTTTCAATATTAGTTAAACAATTATTATAGGCAAGTTAATATTTAACTTATTGTATTAATATATGAAAGATATTGTTTTTTTTATAATATATATCTTGATATATACTAATTAAATAAAGAAATAATGGTTACTTATAAAAAAAAATTACTATTTTTAATTAATTAATTTTATATATTTTAGATTATATAAATATTTGTTTTAAAGCAATAAACTTATTAATTTTTTATTTTTAACAATATATACAGTATATTATTATTAAAAACAAATAATTTTTTTTTATTTTATACTGTATACTATATATTATTATAAAATTTAATTTGGTATATTTATTTATTTTATAAAGTAAAGTGTTTATTTTTGAACTAACAACAATTTTTCTATTTTTTTTTTACTTTTTAAATCCTTTATTGTTTTCAATTTTAATTTACTTTGTTCACATGAGATCTTCATGTTTTGAACGCCTCCATGCATAGATCGGCGCATTGTGTTCGAGGTGAATTTCCGGTTACATGAAATAGCATTGTTGAAGAAAAATGTAAACTCCGAAGGTTTACAAATCGCATCTTTCGATTTACGCCACTCATGTGATATATAGAATTTTAACAAAGACAAAAATTTTTATCCTAAAAGTTTTTAAATTTAATTTACGTGAACACCGGTTTTACTCTAAATATAGCTACACGTATTTTAACATATTTAACCACTCTGTCCTCAAAAAAATTTTTTTTAGATGTTTCTTTGTCTTGTTTTTTTTTTTTGTAATTACAAAATCCACATGTACATAAGTAAAATCCTCAAACCTCTTTTTACACGACATCCTTAATTATTTCACGTCTTATCTTCTTGCCCCTATATTTTGCGGTTATGATGAACTCGTCTTATAGTACTTTTGGTTTCGAAAGCAGCTTTGAAACATTGGTGATCGATGAATTTGGAATAAAGTCCCATAAAAACCACGCGAACTATTCACAGGAGAATGGCGGCGATGATTTTGTGGATTTGTCGCTGAAGTTAAGGGGCGGAAAGACGCAAGATAAACCAACAATTATTCAACCATCACGAGAGGAAACTATTCAGGATCCGTGGGTACCATCTTTGTGTTCCACGAGCCCGACGCATTTATCGATAAAATATGAATTCTATGCAAAGCGGCTACCATTTCTTGCGAGATTCGAAATGATAAGATTGTCGAAACCTTTTGGACCGATAGGAGCTTCGGAAATGATATGGGATGAATTGGTTAATCATACCGACTTTCATACTTTTACAAAAATATGTCGTAACAAACTTGAACATTGCAATATCAAGAACAACATACAGTCAGAGATGAGGAAATTGATACCCTACACTGGATCATTATGGAAAATCGGGGAACAGCTCGTGACATCAAAGAAAGGCTCAGCCTTGCATACGATATTTTCGGCGAATGTCATTATGAAAAGCGGGAAATTGTATATAGGGTTAAACCCGCCGAAGGCTGGACTGTCAAAAAGAATCTATCGGATGTATTCATCCGAGAGAATACTACAAGTAAAGGTAGACATGAATTTTGAGTCTTTGGACAATCAACAGAGAAAGCGTTTGAAAAGTTTGTTATTGAATCCGTTATCACTTGCCGGTCGTACTTACGAGTTCCTTTATGCAAGAGAAGGAACCCTATTCTACTTTGCAACAAATGGAATAGATATTAAAAGCATATCTATATGGGGTGCAATCGATAATCTAATGCCTCTAGAGAGGAACATCGAAATGACCAAAGCGAAATTTTGCAGTCGCATCGCGCTGAGCTTCTCAAACACCACGCCAACTATAGTGTTTGAACCCCATCAAATAATATATAACGTTCCTGATATTGAGGATGGTTATGGACATTGTTTTACGGATGGTTGTGCTGCCATATCACTCGCAGCGATGAGGAAAATCGCGGATATAATGGGCTGCGATGAAACTCCGTATTATATTCAAGGTCGCATTGGAGGTGCCAAAGGAATTTGGTACCTTGATCTACGACCAAGGTATGACAATGAACTCATATGGATTGAAATACGCAAGTCTCAGTCGAAATATCAAGTGGAAAATTTGATTAAAAATGATAATGTACATCATCGAACCATGGAGGTCCTCAATGTCAAATTATCCCTTAAAACTTCGGCAGCCCTAAACACGCAGTTCATAAGGGTATTGGAAAACGGTGGAGTTCCTTCTACCGTGTTCACGGAATTGATGAAGGAGAGCATGGAAAGGGTGAAGTGCCAAATTATAGGCAATCATGATCCTTGTTCTCTAAGGGCATGGGTTATGAAATGTGGAAATATATTTTGGAGGCGATCAGGTTCCGAACTTTTTGATAATGAATCATCGCCCTCAACATTTAATAATACAGCCACCCTGACATCCGGGTGGTGTGATTTAACTTATGAACAATGTATCGAGATGTTAGATGCTGGTTTCACACCGGACAATTGCACGTTTCTGGCAAAGAATTTAAAAAAAATCTTGATGATTCAATTTAGAGTTTTTGAGAATAAATATAGGATTGACGTTCCGCTGTCACGTGTTGTCACGTGTATTGCTGATCCCACAGGAACTCTACTTCCTGGTCAGATATTTTTGCAACTTGATAGAGAAGCAGGGGTTGATGAGAGGACGGGTCTGCGATTTGGTATAATTGAAGGGGATGTGATATTGGCCCGAAACCCATGTGGTCTGCCATCAGACATAGTCAAAGTTAAGGCGGTGAAAAATTCATGCCTTAATAGCTATTATAACGTTGTTATATTTCCGGCGGTTGCACAGAAAGGGGAAGGTTCTTTGGCGGATAGGTTGAGTGGCGGTGATTATGATGGTGATAAGGTATATTTATTTATGTTTATATTCACACATTCAGTATGTAAAAATTAAGTTTTCCTATGATTCTTCGTGCCAATAACGGTTTCTTCTTTTGTTGTTGCAAAGGTCTTTGTTTGTTGGGAACCTCGAATTGTCTCTCCATTTAATAATTCCACAGTTCTCGAAATCCAGTCCGAGGTTGAAAAGGCGTTTACCAAGTGCACGGAAACCATGAAAGAATATTTGAAAAACGATGGACCGGGTTCACGAACATGTAAAGTTCAGGCGCTCATCTTAGATAATTTCTTCAACGAAAGCCTTGTTCCAATTGGGATGTATGATAGATATCACCGATTGCAATCATCACATTACGGCATATCTGATCCGAAGTCGATCTATCTTGCGCAAGTATACGCTCGACTTATCGACGTCACAAAGCAAGGGGAGATATTGAATAAAAATGTACAGATCCGGGATGATCTTGAATACGGAAGACTTCCGGTACCATGTTGGATGGAAAAATCAAATGATATGACTCAACCCAAAAGTAGAATTCCCAGTAAAGTCTCCTGTAGGGCGATGGATGAGTTATATAAAATGGTTAAAAACGAGATCCGCATCATAAACTCACCCAACTTTTACGTCTCGAGTTCCAGTCCACCTCACATAGATCCTCACATACAAAATTATTGGTTGGGACATATGCGTAAAGCCAAAAGTATGAATGATAAATCGTTCTTGCACGACTTACGCTTAATAGCTGATATTCAAGGTTACATAGTAACAGGATATAATTCTGGTTATGCAAAAGCGCTGAGAAAGAAGATCGATTATGCCGACCTACTCCGTTCGCCAGACATTTTTAACAGAAATAGAGAGAAAGATGCCAAGAATTTCTTGTGTCAAGAAAAACTCGTGGCAATAGATTTAGAATATTTGGAGAAGTTTACGAACGAACCGCCCGTTCACCAATATAAAAGTGAAATACTCCGAAACGTCGATCGATCAGATCCTGATTCGGAGATAACAATGTTTGAGTTGATGTTAAAAGCCTCAGCTTTATATACAACGATGTGTACTTCAAAACCCGACGGCACATGCTGTTGGAAATTGGCCTTTAGGGCACTATGTAACATTAAAGCGAGGATGGTCCAAAGGGAAAAGAATGGAATTATAGGAGGGCCAAGATGCGTGGTGGACGATGTGTGGAATTCATTGAACGTAGATAAGGGTTGGACCAATCGTAATCAGGGTTAGGTTTAGAAACAATAGAAAAAATAGAAGAAATTATCTTCATATGATTCGTTAAATTATTCGCCTAACGATTCATCGGAACGACTTCAATGTATATATCTTGTAACATGAAAAAATTTCTGTAGATAAGCTTTTACCAAAATGTGATTCATTTTAATATCATAATTTAATTGAATTTCTTTAATAAAGGAATTCTTTTGGACATTGATATTTCTCATATGCACTCAAGTTCAGTCAGGACATTGAGAACCATAAAAGTGTTATTCAAAAATATAAATAGTTGACAACGCCTGAATTATTTTCGCGAGAGAGAATAAGTTATAACAATTTAAAAGGGCGAAGTTAAAATTTGTTTATATTTCCCAAGTTGCCTTGTTTTTATGGCGAGGTTAATATTCCGGAATTATAATTTGGCGATATAAAGTATTTCTTTTAACATTTGAATGAATGCTACTGTTATTTGTTTATTGAAAGGGCTAGAGAAAACTGAGGTAAACATTTACAAAAAACAGTACCACGAAAGCGAATGGTTTTTTTTAAGGATAACCGAGATAATGTTATTTCTTTCGTTACGTTCGCTTCACACGATAAAGCATTTATTCAGGTTTGAATTTACAATGAATTTGACTTAACCTTTTTTGGAGAATCCTTATTTGCATATGCATCTGCGCTTACTTAATCGATTCCACGTCGTTTCGCGGATAAAATCAGTTTTCCACTTTTAGTCAATGTTCACACGCAATATTAATGCTAGACGTTGGTTATACGTAACGAGAGAAATTGTTTAAGGTGTTGGCGATTTAGAATGCGTTTTTTACAGTATACAAATTCTCTTCGTAAGGGATTGTTTTTTTTTGATAAAATGACCTTGATATTATTTAGCGAAAGACTCGCGACTTATGTAATTAATAATAATTAATACAAAATTTTATTAATTGTATTATCTACATTAAAATTCAATTACATCGTAAATATATATTTCATGCGTTTATCTATTGTCATTTGCTTTCGAGTTTACCAAATTTACTTGTTTGAATGGTTTATTTGTTTTTGAATTATGTTATCCGGTTAATGTTTTTTTTTATTCAAAATTCAGAAATTATTATTATTTGGTCTTTATGTATTTTATTGTTTCTGTTTTATATCATGTATAGTTTAATAACGATTTATTTGTATTGCATTAATTTTTATTTGAAATACAAGTAAAAGACTATTTTATTTATATATACAGCACCGTGTTACAAAACTTTTTAATATTTTAAAATCCAATTGTTATAACGGTGAAGTTTATGTAAATTTATTTCAAAACCAAAAAATCAATTCAAAAGTTTTATGAATTATCTCAGTGTTTTAATGATTTTTTAATTTGTAAATTTTTTTCAAAAACATTTTTATAATGTTAAAAATATCATAAAATATTTAAATTTATAAATTAATATACAATAACCTTAAATTGTAATTACAGTATTAATAAATATATATTTTTTTGATACAAAATAATAATATCCATAATAATAATTTTTTTTCAAAAGGTAATACACGGTGTATAAAATACAATATAAATTAAATAATTTCTAGATTTTTTATTAATTTTTATGCAATGATTTCTGAGTGAAAAACAATTCATAAATAACGCTTTGTTACTCATTCTGTACCGTAATAATTTAATAGAAATAGAAATTTATGGAATGATTTGGAAATATTATCATGTCACTAAATTTTAAATACTTTGACTCATTTCTTGGCATTGTGAAATTCTACTGTATTTATTAATAGCAAATTGTAAAGGTATATTCATTGCAAGATCATTCTATTATTATAATAGCACAAGTTTATTTAAGATTTTTAGCATAGGAAGATAAGGTTACATTTGCTAAACGCATCAGTTCTACGTTATTCGCTCGGTCAAGTCAGTCGACGCATACACGAAATCGTTTATTGATTAGTATCAGACCTATCGCCTAACTCTTTGCAATCGCGCATTCATCCGCATAATATACTGTCCATACGGTACGCATGTAATCCAATTTTTCTATTTTTATTTTATGAATTCACCGGCTTTCTAATTTTAAATCATGGAGTAATGGAATTTAAATTTGTCGAGTAATTTAAACGAAAATCTTAATCAGCAAGATATTCCCATAATTTATACTGTCGGTACGTATTAACGACAATTCAATGTAAAATTTTCCTTATTTGGGATCATATAAATGTCAATAATGTAGTAGCAAATACGTGGTAAAAAATTAGTACGCATAAGGAGAACATAATTAAATAAGAATCATCCCATTGAGGAAAATGAGGAAAATCATCGATATCTCGAAATATGATTAAATAGAGGTGTTTCTTTTGTGAAGACGGGTGTCCTCGATTCTTTGGCAATTTTCGCGTAAATAGGAGTCTTGGAATATATCGAACAATCTGTAATAGAATAATGAACATGATGAATAATTTGATAATATGTATTCTATCCGTTGCTTTGGCATTTCTTATTGCACCGACGTTGTCGTTGACGTTGAGCAATGATCCATGCGCCAGAATTGCTAAGAAGGGCGTAAGTCACTTGTATGATGATGTTAAAGCGTGTTATTTGAGCAATCCGTTTAACGTTAGCGCAGCGAAGAGGGTAAATACTTAAATTTGATTCTTTTTGAAAAATCTAATTCTTATTGATAGAACACTTCTTATTGCTCTCGTTTCCTTAGACGCTTCAGACATTGAATGATTTGTTCAAAGATCTCTACGTTTTCACGGACCAATCCAAAGAACCAGTAAAGGAGGGATACGACTTTACTCCATTAGATATTCTCAGTGTCCTCGACACATTCCTCGATAAGAAAAGCTACACCACAGACTTTGAATTTAATGTAAGTTTTGATTCACCATATTACATGCTAGCATCATTGTCATTGTCATTTACGGTTTCTTTTCTTCACAACAAAAAATAGAAAGATCTACGCTTCACCATCAAGAAGTTGCGCGATGGTCATACGGATTTTCAGGCTGGTTGCTATTTGAACGATATCGTATTTGACCAACAAATATATTTATACTCCGTGGTTAAGGACGGAAAGCAGGTGACATTGTTTTCTGGATGCCCTACCTTATTTGAATTTCGTTGAACTAACATATCTTAATAAATACTATTCATAGATGATAAAGGTGTTTGATGACACGATTGATGGAAAAAATGTAGACTGCGAGGTAACGCAGATTAACTCGCAACCCGCTCTCCAGGCAATTAAAGAGTTTGCTCAAACTCAGTTGTCCTCGTCAAGAGATCTAGGAGTTCGATTCAACGATGCACTTGCCTCCGTTAGACAGATCGCAATTGCTCCAACTTCAATCCAGTTTTCGGCGAGAACCGATCTACCCGAGTCCGACTCAATCACCTATACCCTAGAATGCCCGAATCGAAAACCCTTTCAGCTTGTACGGAAATGGAATATTACCACCGTAGATCGCTTTTTGGAGTGGAGTGACATGAAAACTTTTCGGCAATATTGTTTTTCCGACTTTTTCCTTTCATATGTCCCCCCTCAAAAGAAAGCCGTGAATTCTCCACCATTTACTTATGGGAAGGCCAAACAGGTATACTCTTCATTGGCAGCAGATGTATATACCTTAGGAGAAGATATTGGGATAGTTGAGATTGGAACCTTTTCCTTTAGAAGAGTCCCTAGTTCGTTGGCATATGACTATCAAGCGGCTTTTCAGGAATTGGTCAAAAGGAAGGTCAAAAAGGTATTCTCATTTCACTTTGCGGAAGTTTCCGATTACTCTTTTTGATCAAATTTACTTATTCATCGATCCTTACAGGTTGTGATTGATTTCTCCAATAACCCTGGTGGATCCATCAATTTTGCTATTTTCCTTAGTGGACTGATAGTTCCTTCCAACCATTTTGCATTTCCAACAGACCTCCGGGTTCCGTCGACTATCCAGCAAGTGATTCGAAATGAAAGCCGGCCGGAAAGTGATGGTGGTTTTTATAATGCAAGTTCATGGAATTCCTTTGAAACCGGAAAGCCCTTTAAAAATGCGGAACAATTCATTGGTAACCGAAGTCTTACCCGTGGGGGCACAACTGATGAATACTCGGCACTATTCATCGATCAGTTACCCGACCTATTACTTGAAATACTAAAAGATCAACGCAAAAGTCCAATCCAATTTCCATGGGACAAAGATTCCACGATTATCCTTACGAATGGTCATTGCGCATCCGCTTGTGCACTGGTTTCAAGATATTTTGCGGAGGTCGGCCAATATCCAACAGTTGCCGTAGGGGGATTCTTAGAACAACCATTATCGTTTTCAACATTTCCTGGTGGCCAGGTAATCGATAGTGGGATACTCACCGAAATACCTGCTTACAAGCCATTCATATCAAATGTAGAACTAGATTTCACCATCCGGGAAGCATATAGTTTGAAAAACCCGAACGAGGTTCTGGACTTTCAATTTAAACCTGCTACTCATAGATTGTATTATGATGAGAAAAACTCTAGAGATATTAGTTTACTGTGGGAACAGGCAGCAGATTTCTTAAAATAGTCATCACCATAGACATAGAAGTGCGTAGATACAGTATAACAAGAATTCAATAGAATCAACTTTCTTCAAGCATGTCAAAGATACATTATGATATTTTTGTTTGCCTTGGAGGTTTATGTAAAATATGTCGAGTAACGCGTAATGGGTCCCTTACGTGTGCATACAATCCTTTGTTTCATTTTATTTTATCTATTTTTTGCACGAACATCTCATATAATATACAATATACTTACTTATTCACGCAGTATATATTATAATCATATGATTATATGATCCGATTGATTTATGTAATAGAATAAATTTAAACTTTTCAAGAATATGATTTCTTAATTCAGGAGATCTTTGAATATTAGAGAATCTTGTTAACAAAAAAATATAAACAAAGTTTAATACAGTAAATAGAAGTCGTTATAATGATGTTTGGACATGTTGAAAATTAGATAGTTAATACTTTAAAATTCTTATATCAGTATAACAAAAAAAATTACATATACTGTACATATATAAATAATTAAACAAAAGATTACAGTTGAAAAATCTTTTGGAAATCTCTAGGTCCAGTTCATTAGAACAAATCTGTTACTACTACCTGTAGTTGAATGAACCATTTGATTTTCATCATCTACTTTATCTATTTTATTTAATAAAATAGTTAATAAATTATTAAATTACAGTATATATAAATATATAAATTAATTAATAAATATATTATTAGTAAAAATAGTTATTTATAGTTATTTATAATACAGTATAATGATTTAATGATTTTATTATATCATTGTATTTTAATAAAAATTAATAAGTATTTTCAGATACAATATAATCAAGAATATAATAAAAATATATATTTTTAAATAGTATACAGTCTAGTTCAAAAAAAATCAGAATTGATTTTTTTTTTATAATTGAATAAAGAAGAATTTAAATTGAATAATATACAGTATATTTTTTATAATAAAAAAATAATATATTAGAGTTTATGAATATTTAATTGGTAATTTATTTTAAAATATCAATTTAAAGTTGAAAAAAAATTTTTTTAAATGATTACAAATTTTAAATATAAATTATATATAAATTCTGTTTAGAAAATAAATTTTTATTATAAGAAATTTTTCAAAAAAATTAATTATAGAATCAATAAAAAAATTTTTTTTTAATTTATAAAAAATTATTTTATCATGTTTAAATAATAATATTAAAATTATTTTATTTTTTATTTTATAAAATAGATTTTAAAAAATTTATGTAAAATTTTAATTAAATTATTAAATAAATAAAAATTTTTTAATAGTAAAATTATAAAAAAAACCAATTTATTATAAATATATTCTTATTTAATAAATTTATTTATTGAGATAATTTTAATAATATTTTTTAATCATTTTTTCTAATGAATTTAAATTAATGAATTTTTTTTAAAAAAAATTTTTTAAGTTAAAATTTACAATCATCTTGATAATATATTAAAAAAGTTTATTTGGTAAACTTATTTTTGTATTTTCAAATATATGTATATATTTCATAATATTTTATTTATTCGTTATTAAAATATAAATAAAATTAGAAATATAATTTTTTTTAATTTTTTTTTTGAATTAAACTATATATATATTATATTATAAAAAATAATATATAACAATTTTTTAATATTATAAACTAATTTTTAAATTTATATTTAAACAAAAATTATAAAATTTTTTTAATTTTTTTTTTTAATATACAATAATATATTATTTTATAATTTATAAAATATTAGTTAATTAAAAAACCAAAATTATATTTATATTTTTCAAATAAATCATTATAAATTTAACAAATAATCAAATTTTAATAATCGAATATAATAAAAATTAAAATTATTTAAATGTTAAAAAAATCATGAATTATTGACAAATTAAATATGAATCAACTTATAATAAAGTTAATAGATCAACTTATAATATATTTTTAAAATAAATAAAAAACATATAATTATATTTTAAATAATATTATTAATTATATAATTATTAATGAATTTTAATATTTGAATCATAATAATATCGATTCAAATCAAAATATCTATAGAATTCTTACCATTGTTGAAAAACAATTTGTAGCATCAAGTCTTGTTTTTTTATGTAATGAATGTAAAAATCCTTAATTATTAAGAATATAAATGTATTTATCTAATATATGTAAATTGAGCTTGTATTTAGCATTAGTCAAATAAATTTTTTTACGTATTTATTTTTTTTATAACCGACATATATACCATAACACGTGACCTATCTTTTAAAATTTGATGGCCATAGTAATTTCTACTACTGTATACATTGTACCCTATACAGTAGAACTTCATACACGTTTTAAATCGAAAATTATAATTAACAATCTCTTGAATTTATCCTGACAAACTTTATATCATATTCGTTATCCCCTCCGTTCGCGAAAAATACCGTTCAACCTTTTTGCATATCCGGAAAAGGTACTCGATTGAGTCCCGTAAAGTTTACTACTTCGCGACGCTACTAACAAATCTACTATCGGGACCAAGTGTTTGAACATATTTGTTCCGTCTGATGGATTTATTATGTTCTTCATTGGTTCAAGTCGAAAATCTTCCAGCATGTAGACACA